GAAGTCCTTCGTTCAATCCCCAGCACAAAAACCAAAACAACAGACATCAGAATTTCTTCCTCTCCATCCTTCAGCAGAACCATCTCCTCTAGAATTGGGAGAAATTAAAATGGGTGTGCCCCAAATCTGCAGCCATTTTTTTTTTATTACTGAACTCTGGGAATATAGAACTTCAAAAGCGCAGCTGATCAAAAGCATCAGGACTCTTGTTTGTTACTGAATAGAACTGATTTTGAGGGGTTCCATGGCTAAGGGCAGGGATGCTGCAACCAAGTAGCCTGCCTCAGCCTGCATCCTCTCTGCTTAGAGGGAGCCTGGAGCCCAGATGGTTAGCACCAGAGGTTTCAGGCTGTGTCCTGGGGTACTCAGTGCTTAGCTCCAGACCTCTGCTCCAGAAGGCTCATTCTGGCATTCATGGTGTTTTTTGTGCCCCCCCCCCACCCCCCGCCGCTTGAAGTCCTGGGGAATCAAACTCAGGGCCTCGTGCACGCTAGGCAAGCACTCTACCGCTGAGTTATCTCTACCTATAAGAGTAGTTGTTGAAGAGGCTGAGGCAGGAGAATCGCAAGTTCAAGACTAGCCTGGGCAAGTTAACGAGAACTTGTCTCAAAATGAAAAGCGCTGGAATGCAGCTTAGTGGTAGGCGTGTCCCAGAGTTCCATCTCAGCATCCAGGAAAAAAAATTCTTTGGACCTACAAGAGCATACATAATGCCAAATGTGAATTTCCGAAAAGGGCCCGAGGGACTTCTTTAGTTGCAAAATCAGTGCAGAGGTGCCTCGCTTCTTTTGCAGCCCTTGTCCCAAGTGGCCTGGCAGTGGGGAGCGGTGGAGCTCTTTCGTTCCTTGGCAAAGCGGAGGTGCTGCAGGTGGCAGGCTCTGCGGGAAAGCTCCCGCTGAGTACTACAGGTCTGCGCCGCAGCCTCGGGGCCGGAGGAGAGGCGGGGCCCAGAAGAAGGCGGGATGGAGCCAGGAGGGAGGAGGGGCGCACCGGGAGCCCCTCCCCGGGGCGGGGCCGGGGCCTGGGCCTGCCGGGCGGTGCAGAGCTGAGGTCTGCCGCCCGCGGTCTGGAAGGCACATGCGGAGCTGCTCTGCGCCGCCCCACGAATCAGCAGTCTGTGAGGCTGGGTCAGAGCCCTGCCTCCCCGCACCGGTCACCTGCCTCCGCGCCTGGAAGTGGGGGGCCGCTGGGCCGTGCAGCCGAAGAGGTGCAGCTGCAGCCGCGGGGTGAGTGCGCGACTTCCCGAGGTGCCGTCTGACCCTTCTCCCCAGGGCCTCTCTGACTAGCTTACTTTCCTTAGTCGGCATAGGTAAATTAATTCCTGGCATCCCAAGGCTTTATTTTCATCAGTTTATTTTTGGATGGCTTCACTTGTTTTATTCCACAGTTATATTACCAAACTGCATGAATGAATGATGCAATCCCGCCTAGAAGAACCATCAGCCCAAGATTGGGACAATCCCCCAAACTTGAAGTGTCTGACTTTGTCACCTCTGCCATAAGAAGTAGAATCTTAGATGAATGCTTACCAGATACATTGTTATAAAGATAAAGCTTCACCTTGGGAGTTAATTAACTCATTCATTAGATTTGTTGAAAATCATTAAATTTTATTTTTATACATGACTTGCATATTTTAGTTACTCGTTGAATGTTTGATGGCTGGTATTGGTAGAGGGTCAGGGCAGAAAATAACAAAATCCAAGATTTCTGTATTTTATTACAACTACCAGGTAGGTTTTGTGTATAATAATGATTATAGTCCTGTTAACTTTCATGATAGTGAAACAAACTAGTCAGGACTTTAAACATTTTGAAATAATTTGACACCCCTAATAACTTTTTAAAAGCCAATGTTGTATTAATGTATAATTTAATGCAACATAATGCACCCAGATTAAGTGCACATTTTAATTAATTTTGACAAATTTATACACACTTATCACCACAACAGGACATTTCCTCTGAACCTTACAAGGGCCTCCTTCCACCTGGCTCTCATTCCTACTGATCTGATCTTTGTCATTATAGCATTTGTATTTCCAGAGTTTCATGTGAGTGGAATAATACAGCTCGTACTCTTGTGTCTGGCTTCTTTTGTAAAAAGTGTGTGTGTGTGTGTGTGTGTGTGTGTGTGTTTAATATCCATTTATGTTGTCCCTTGTATCATTCATTCCTTTTATTACTGAGTAGTGCTCCATTGTAAGAATATACCACAATTTGTTTATCCATTTATCTGTTGGTGGACACATGGGTTGTTTCTAGTTTGGGGTGATCCCAAATAGAGCTGTTATGAATATGTTTTCATTTCTCTTGGACACATCTCCAAGAGTGGGATTGCTGGGACTTGTGGTAAGTGTGTGTTTGATTTTCTCAGAAGTTGCTAAACTCACCAGCAATTCATGAGTGTTGACGCTCTATATCTTCACATGGCATTGTCTCTCTTCATTTTATTCAGTCTTCTTTTGAGTTTATTTACATTTCTTCTTTTTTGAAATGTCTAGTTAAAGTCTTTTTTGTTCATTTTTAGTAGGTGGTTGTCTTATTGAGTTGCAGGAGTTCCTTATATATTCTGAATAGAATTCCTGTGTCAGAGATATGTGTTGTGAATAAGAAATTACATTCTGTGGTTTTTCCTGCTTTTTTTCTGTTTTTGGTACCAGGGATTGAACTCAGGGTACTTAACCACTGAGCTACACCCCCAGCCCTTTTTATTTTTTACTTTGAGACAGGGTCTCACTAAGTTGCTGAGGCTGGACCCTGACTTGCAATCCTCCTGCCTCAGCTTTCCAAGTAGCTAGGACCCAGGTGTGCACCCCCACACCTGGCCTAGACTCCTGTCAGGAGTCTACTTCTTTGTTTATTTGCATTTTCTTCTTCCAACAGATCCTCTTTCCCTTTCCTTTACTTTTCTGTCTTACTTGAAACTTGAAGAATCAAAGCCATTAGAAGTGTGTGTTTGTTCCTCTGAAGAGCTTGAAGAAGGCAGAAGCAGGACATCTCCCAGGGGAGTGGTCTTAGGGAACTTGGCATCTGAACTGTTCCTGTAACTGTCCCAACAGGAGGGACAGTGGATCCACAGTCTCTTCTTTCTTTCTTTCTTTCTGTACTGGGAATTGACCTCAGGAGTGCTTACCACTGAGCAACATCCCAGGCCTTTTATATATATGTATGTATGTATACATATGTTTATATGTATGTATATATACACACATACACACATATATGTATAGGCATGCGCCATCATGCCCGGCTACAGTCTCCTTTTTCTTGTCATTTTCTGGACCTTCAGGTATACATCTTCCTTCTTTCTTTCTAGGCCCTTGCAGAACCCACAGATCCTTCCTAAAGAAGTTTGCAGTTTGGGGCTGGGGTTGTGGCTCAGAGGTAGAGCATGTGACTAGCATGTGCTGGGCCCTGGGTTTGATCCGTAGCACCACGTAAAAAAAAAAAAAAAAATGAATGAATGGAATAAAGATATTGTGTCCAACTACAACTAAAAGAAAAAAAAAAAAGTTTGCAGTTTCCCTCAGAAAGGGAATCCAGCACTGGAGAGATATGAGTCACTGTGTCTTATGTAGTCAGTTGCTGTGGTGCTTCTCTCTGTTAGCAGTTGCCTGTACCTGAAGAGACAACCATCCACTGTTGCCCAGGAGGCGGGCACAGCATCTGGATTGCCAGAGGAGTGCCTGCTTCTTAGCCAGTTGTCCTGTTTGCTTTAGGTGCCCTGGAATAGGAACTGATGGACGCTTGTCCTGCTTGCAGGAAGGGTCTTTTCCTCTCCTCTGATTCGAAAGCTTCCAGAATTCACTGTGTGCTGCTCAGGGGCCTGCACAAATCTGCCTCTGCTTCCAGAGTGCCCAACATACTTGCTCTCTTGCTGTGTTTCACCTCCTAGCACCATGCTGGTTCCTATCTGTCCTTTCACAGGGGAAGGTCAGAGGTTGATTCTCAAAAGGTGAAGGAGGTGGAGTGATCTTAGATGCCTCTTGCAAGACACTAGATGGAAAAGTTGGGAGAGTTTGTTTGGGAAAGAAGATATTTTTCCCCTCTTATCTAAAATTAGGCCTCCTGAGCATGCCACAGGGACACTGCTACATCGATGTTCATAGCAGCACAGTTCACAATAGCAAGACTGTGGAACCAACCTAGATGCCCTTCAGTAGACGAATGGATAAAAAAAATGTGGCATTTATACACAATGGAGTATTACTCTGCATTAAAAAATGATAAAATCATAGAATTTACAGGGAAATGGATGGCATTAGAGCAGATTATGCTAAGTGAAGCTAGCCAATCCCTAAAAAACAAATGCCAAATGTCTTCTTTGATATAAGGAGAGTAACTAAGATCAGAGTAGGGATGAAGAGCAGGAGAAGAAGATTAACATTTAACAGGGATGAGAGGTGGGAGGGAAAGGGAGAGAGAAGGGAAATTGCATGGTAATGGAAGGAGACCCTCAGGGTTATACAGTGGAGGGGGTAGAGAGAGAGGAGGGGAGGGGAGGGGAGAGGTGGGGAGGGAGGAGGGTGGAGGATGGGAAAGGCAGCGGAGCACAACAGACACTAGTATGGCAATATGTAAATCAATGGATGTGTAACTGATGTGATTCTGCAATCTGTGTATGGGGTGAAGGTGGGAGTTCATAACCCACTTGAATCAAAGTGTGGAATATGATATGTCAAGAAATTTGTAATGTTTTGAACAACCCACAATAAAAAATTAAAAAAAAAAAATAAAGTCAGTGACAAACAGTGCTGCTTTGCCAGCTGTCACACATGCCTGCTACACCAACATAAAAGCTCAGATTATTAAGTAGTTGTGAAATCCAACTGGGATATTGCCACCTTTAATTGCTCACTTTCAACCTTTTAAACTAGGTAAACCCCAGTTGCTTCTTTAAAAACTCTCTTTCCCCAAAAGTGGATCGCTGTTTTTGGAATTCTAATTCACACCAAAAGGCTTAAATGATGAACAATTAAGAGTCTGCTCAATTGTAATTAAGAATCATAAGAATCGTTTATTAAGCTTCTTTTAACTATGGAAAAGCACACTTTAAACCTTTGTAATTAATTAAAAAGAAATTTTAATACCAATCTTTCACATTCTGAAGATTTCCTGTTTAAAAAAATATGAAATATTAGTAAGTAACAACAAAAAAAGAAATATTAGCAAGTAAAATTGGAATAAAAGTCTTGTTTTCAGGATTGCAGATAAATGTGTATGAAATCTACATTGTCTGAATTTTTACTTATTAAAATACTCATTGTTTGATTTTCCTCTGAATTTATCAGTAATACAATACTGATAAATTTATAGTAGTTTATCAAAATACATGCTACAACAACAAGCAAAAAGCATTGTATAAAAATGCTAATTATTTACCCCCATCCTTTATTAAACTGCCTGGTCCCATGAGGGAGCCAGTGCTAACCTTGGCTTGTATTCTTCCACAGATTTCTTTCCTTTGCAATGATACCTACGGTACAAACACATGCAGATGTTTATGTTGGTTGTGAATGTCTCTATTTTTACTGACGCATTATATTTTCAATTGTTAAATAAAAGTTGTCTTTTGTTCACAATGCTAAAAAAAAAAAATAAATAAATAAAAATAAAATAAAATTAGGCCTCCTAAGACTGGCCCTAAAGGAAAACCTGTTTTTGTACTTTGGAGCTAGGCCTAAGAAGGGCTTGTCAGCATGTTTTCTATTATGTTTTGTTTTAAATCTGTTGGATCACGCTGGCACCCTGGTTGGGACTGAGCCTGAGCCTGAATCATAGATCCTTCCATCAGGAATTTTTCCCCCCACATTTTTTATTGGTGCATTATTGTTGTATACATGGTAGGATTTGTTGTTACATATTTGTACATGCACACAGTATAACAGTATAGTTCAGCCAGTGTAACTCCCCAGTACTTTCTCCTCCCTCCAGGATTTTTTTTTTTTAAATTCCTAGTCCTGTCTTCTCCCTTCCCCCAAGAGCCAGATTGGAGGATCCAGAGTTCATTCCCAGCAACGATTTTTCTTTGTGTGAAATTCTAATGTACACAATTTACTTTGAAGCAACTTACTCAGCAGATTTCCTCCCCTATAGCCTTTTTTTTTTTTTAAATATTTTTTTAGTTGTAGTTGACATAATACCTTTATGTTATTTATTTATTTTTATGTGGTGCTGAGGATGGAACCCAGGGCCTCACTCCTGCTCTATTGCTGAGCCACAACCCCAGCCTCCCCCCACCCCATAGACTTTTGAATATGCATGAACTGTGAGTCATTCCTAGTGGAGACAAGGAAAAAAAGAAAAGAGGGAACAAGGGAGTGAACAAGGAGGCAGAGCAGGTTTGGAAGAGCTAAAGGAATCTGAGATCAAGTTTGCTGTGCTGGTCAATCAAGCAGAGAGGGAGCTGAAACCCTTGTAACCCGAGGTGGCAGGCACAGGCCCTGGCAGGAGTGTTGCCTGAGCAGAGTTATGGTCATGTCATGCAGCTTGGCCTCCTGGCAAGGGTGTAGGGAAAGAATCTGTTGAGGGGTTGTCTCAGAGGTTCTGTATTCTCTGTCTTGGGGACCTCATTGCAACACAGAGGGCAGGTGTCAACAATTTCAAGAGAGGTCAGGACCAGTGTTCAGCTGGGGATGTAGAATTCAGTCCTTGCATTACTTGAGGGAATGTAGGTCTCCTGCCATAGTCAAGGCTGATGTTCTTTTTTTTTTTTTTTGTCTTTGGTAATGAGGATTGAGTGTAGAATGCTACACCCCAGCGCCCCACTTTTTTTGGTACTGGGCATTGAACCCAGGAGTGTTTAATCACTGAGCTACATTACATCCCCAGCTCTTTTTATTTGTTATTTTGAGACAGAGTCTCTCTAAGTTGCCCAGGCCAGCCTGTTACTTGTAATCCTCTACCTCAGTCTCACAAGGAGCTGGGATTACTAAAGGCTGGTGTTCTTGTGGAAGCTGGGGATGGTGTTAGTGGTTTGAAAAAAGCTCAAGTACTTGGTTTTTCAAGTATAAGCAGTGAATATTTGTCTTTTGTCCTCTCTTAAGTCTTCTGTGAGGCCCTGGGTCCTGGCTCTGTCTGGCTCTGTCTTTCCCTGGCTTTGAGGCTGTAGGTTCCTGGCAGTCACCCTCAGTGGTCTTGCCCATTCTGAATCATGCCGCATTGCCTCTGCATGTTCATGAAGTATTCTTCGGACTGCCCTATTTAGCTCACCTCAGATTTCTGTCTTCCTCTTTCCTCACCTATGGCCCACTGCCTTTGTGCAGTGGGATTGCCTGGCTTCTCTGCTGACAGACTCTTTCCTGGGCTTTTACAGTGAGCCTGCTGGCCATATCATATGAATGGGGTTGATTCTGCCCATCCAAAGCCAAATGAGGGCTTTGAGCAGAGTAGGAGTAGGATACGGAGCTCCTGGATCTTTGGCTCAGTGGGAACTGATGATCTGTGAAATCTCCTCTAGCTGCTGGTCTCCCAAGGAACATACAGCCTTCCTTTTTCTCCTGTGGTGAATCATCAGCCATTGTGCTGTCCAACCAGCAGAGTTCTGGCCAGAATTTCAGAAGTTCTCTGGGTCCAGTTAGGTTCTTATCAGTGCTTAGCCTCAGTTAGCTCTGCTTAATTTATGTGCCTTTCTTTGCTATCTCTGTGCATTCAAGATCCAAGTGTTAGTTCCTTTAGTTATCACCTGGGTTACTCAGTGACTTTGGGTACAGCTAAGCAGGTAGGAGGAAGTTAGAACTCCTTGCTTGCATGTGCTTACCTGGCTCCTGTGGCAAGGCTCGGGACCAGACCCAGATGACAATTTCCAGGTTCTCTCCAGCTTTGGAATGCATGGTGCTGATCTGCCTCAGCAGCATTGCTGGTCGGAGATCTCAACTTCAGGCCAACAGCTCACTGACTTGGAATTGTTTTATTAAAACAATAATCGATTCAGTTCCTTGTTGAGTCCTGATAACTATTTAGATCCAATTGCATCTAATTGTGAAGCATTTACCTAAACCAGCCCGGTTCTGGGTGCAAGATAGAAAGGTAATTACCCAACAGGACCTCGAGTTCTAGGGGATTAATGGGAATATGAATTCTCTGGTGGGAAAGGGGAATATAGTATGGTACAGGGAAGGTCATTTGGTCTTCACCCTGAAGAATAATTCAGAATTTAGGGAAGGTGTGATTCTGGGCACAGAGAGCAGCATTCGCAGTGGCATCGAGGATAAAACAATTGGCATTTTAAGGAACAAGACCTTTTTATTTATTGGGCACAAGGTATGTGTGTTTGTGGGGGGAGAAGAGCAGTGGGAATGATGTTGGTAGAATGGACTGAGCTAAATGGGGAATGAGGAGGTCAGTGGCAGGGAATGGATCAGCATGGTCAGACATGGGCACGTCTTACCCTAGTTTGACTCTGTGGAGCTGGCCTTAGGTTCCATTCCTTAGCAGTGAAGCCTAATCAGTACAGTAGCATTTTAAAAATGCCAAGACTGTGTTAAAAAAAAAAAAGATTGTTCAACTAATAAAGCTAAGAATGGGCAAATGATCAGAATAGACACTTCTCAAAAGAACAGTACAAGCAACCAACAAATACATGAAAAAGAGCTGTGTCGTTAGCTGTCAGGGCAAGGCACATCAAAACTACAACAAGATATCTTTGCACTCCAATTAACACAGCTGTTATAAATAATAATATTAATAAATGCTGGTAGCCAAACGTGGTGGCACACTCCTGAAATCCCAGCTATTTGGGAAGTGGAGCAGGAGGATTCCAAGTTCTTTAGTGAGACCCTGTCTCAAAATAAAATAAAAAATGGCTGGGGATGTGAGTCAGTGGTAGAGTGCTCCTAAGTTCACTTCTTAGTACCACTGGGGAAAAAAATGCTGGCGAGGATATGGAGAAATAGGAATCCTGATATGCTGCTGTTGAGAATGTAAATTGGTTCCATCATGGAGAATAGGAGGGAGGTTCTTCAAAAAACTAAAAATAGCTGGATGTGGTAGTGCACACTAGTAATCCTAGCTACTCAGGAGGCAGAGGCTGGAGGATCAAAGTTACCCTGAGAATGAAAATAGAGAGGGCTGGGGATGTGGCTCGGTGGTCAAGTGCCCCTTGGTTTAATTCCCAGCACTGCAAAAAAAAAATTAAAAAACCCATGAAAAAATAGATCTACCACATGATTCAGCTGTCCCTCTTCTGGGTATATGTCCAAAGGAAATGAGACCAGTATGCCAAAGAAATGCCTGCACCCGGTGTTTATTGCTGCAGTATTCATAACAGCTAAGATGTAGAGTCAGCCTAAGTGCCCATTAATGGATGAGGGGACAGAGAGAGAGTGGCTTATATACCCAAAGGAGCATCATTCAGCAATGAAGAATGAAATCCTGTCATGTACAGCAAACAGATGGAACTAGAAGATATGGAGCTAAGTGAAATAAGCCAAGCACAGAAAGACAAGCACTACATTTTTTCTCACATGTGGAAGCTGAGCAAGCTGACCTCACATAGGACAGCGTCTACTGGAGGCTGAGAAGGGTTATGTGTGTGCAGGAGCAGTGGTTGGAGGAGCTGGGTTTGACTGGGGTATGCCATATGCATGTGTGGAAGTGTCGCACTGACCAATTGATATGTATTAATTTTAAAGGTTTCTTTTTTATACCTTTATTTTACTTATTTATTTTTATGTGGTGCTGGGAATCGAACTCAGGGCCTCCCACGTGCTAGGCGAGCGCTCTACTGCTGAGCTACAACCCCAGCCCAATTTTAAAAGTTTTAAAAGGAGTTTGTGCCTTTTAGGAATATAGCTTAAAATACTCTTGGATGAAATGACTTGCTTTGAGATCCTGCGGGAAGGTGAAAGTATGTAGGGCAGTTGGTGGAGCCAATTAGCTCTGCTATTAAAGCAGGGTGATGAATACACAGGGGTTTGTGTATCCATTCTATTTTTTTATGAAGTTGAATTTTTCCAGAGTGAAAATTTAAAAATGATTATGTGGATGAGTATGCTATTTACAGCTTTATCACTTTACTCATTCAGCACTCAGAATTTAATTAAACTTCTACTTAAACAATTGAGTCAGACTAGGTGTTTGGGAAGCTTAGCATGTTGGTGTCAGGGCCTGGGCCTGGTGAGGACGTGCAATTTGTTCTAAGCGTAGATCACTGACATCATCTGCTGGCTCTACACATGACAGCATGTCTCTGATGGGAGGCTCTTCTAGACAGCCTTTGGGATCCTTCTCATCTTGTTTCTAGTACAATCATTTTTCTACAGCAGGGCCCCTCTCGCTTCCTCCCAGGCACCTCCTCTCCATTCTCCTTCAGTTTCACAACTTATTTTTTTCGGTACTGGGGATTGAACCCAGGGGCGTTTAACCACTGAGCCATACCCCAGCCCTTGTTATTTTTTATTTTGAAACAGGGTCTTGCTAAGTTTCCCAGACTGGCCTTGAACTTGCGACCCTCCTTCCTCGGCCTCCGGAGTCTCTGGGATCACACAGGCACCACTGCACCTGACAGGCCGTCCCCCCAACCTCTTCTCCTTTCCCCACTGATTTCAGTCTGGCCATGTTTGACTGCCCCCTCCGCCTCAGCGACTGCCGCTTCCTCTCGCCTCTCTCCTGAGTGTCCCAGTATTAAAGTCCAAACCCTTGGTTTCTCCCAAGGCCCTCGTGACCTGAGCTCCTTGTGTGCTGCCAGGCGGGGCCTATCATGGCTTCCAGCAGTGTCTGCACCACTGTCCTCCCCTCTGTTGTCCTGACCTCCCTGCAGCCCTGTTCCTCAGACAGGGCTGAACAGCTTCTCCATGTGCCCGTAGTGTCTTCAGTCCCCAGAAAGAAGGAAAGTTGGACACTGGTACAACATCGGCATATTTGCAGGTGCGTCCCTTCACTAAACTGGGCTCCTAAAGTTAGAGTTTGGCTTTTGCTCATTTCTGTGACCCTATAGCCTGGGATTCAGAGGGCACTAGACTGTGTCAGTAAGATGTGCGTTGTGAGCCACACTGACCTGGGTACCATGGGCCGCCTGTGGCACAGCTGTTGCCTCTTGCGCCTCTTTCTGTCCTCAAACACACTTTCTTGTTCTCCTCCAGGAGGAAAGATCTCCCGAGGATGGTCTCCCACCCAGAACTGAAGCAGCTTTTCTGCACGGCTGATGCAGTGTGTTTCGATGTGGACAGCACTGTGATCAGAGAGGAGGGGATCGACGAGCTGGCCAGGTTCTGCGGTGTCGAGGATGCTGTGTCAGAAATGTAGGGACAGTCTTCACTCACTGTTTGCATGGTGGACAGGGTTACAGCATATCTCTCTGGGGAGAAATGCCAGGCCCCAGCCACCATTCTTGGATTTGGTTGTGGGTGGAGCATGACAAGCGCTGAGCATTTCCTGCCCTCCCTGAGAGCTGACTGGTGGTGTGCCTTACTCACTCACCCATCATCGTGAATGATGGTGACATGTGTCATGGCACAAAATAAGAACACTGGGTCCGGCAGACCCACAGCCAGCCATGTTCTGAGCTGGGGCAGGAGAGCCACCCACAACCATGACCAACCAAAGACACAGCCTGGGGGTCCTCGGGGTCCAGCACCTGTGTCATGGCTGAAAGTGTGGCCTTACCCTGTGAGGTGGCCCACATCTGTCATCCTAGTGACTCAGATGGCCGAGGCGTTGCAAATTTCAGGCCAGCCTGGGCAACTTAGCAAGGCCCTGTCTCAAAAATAAAACATAAGCTGGGCACAGTGGCATTCACCTTTCACCTCAGCAGCTCAGGAGGCTGAGATAGGAGGATGGCAAGTTTCAGGTCAGCCTCAGCAACTTAGCAAGGCCCTAAGCAACTTAGTGAGACTCTGTCTCAAAAAAGAAAAGGGGCTGGGGTCGTGGCTCAGTGGTTAAGTACCGCTGAGTTCAATCTCCAGTACCAGAAATAAATGAATAAGCAAGTGTGGCCTTGGTGGTTCTCGGGAAGGCTCATCTGTGAGCTTCCTGGGGGGTCAGAACCCCACCCCCCACCTGCCTGCAGCAGCCACTCCACCTGTCATAGCCCCTCACCAGGTCAAGAATATCTTGTCCTTGGTCCCTTCTTGGTTTACAGGCACTCAGGGCTTCCAGGGAAGGTGCCTGGAAGAAGACGATGGTTTCTCAGAGCCTGCAAGGCAGGTTGTAGAGGCACGGTGTGTGGTCTCCGAGGCCCAGCGCTGCTCAGTCAACCTCAGGAGTTTATTCTGAGGCCTCGCCTCCTATAGCAACAGCATCACTGTGGTCCCAGGGTTCCTGCCAGTACCTTGCTCACCACAGGCATTGTGAGAACCCGGGGCATGTGGGTTTTAGGACTGCTGACGTGACTGGCCTGACTGTTGGGTCTTTCTCCTAGGACACGGAGAGCCATGGGTGGGGCAGTGCCTTTCAGAGCTGCGCTCACTGAGCGCCTGGCACTGATCCAGCCCTCCAGGGAGCAGGTGCAAAGGCTCCTGGCAGAGCACCCCCCACACCTGACACCCGGCATCAGGTGAGAGCGGCCTTGGTGCTGGGTGCACCGCCTACAGCACTGGTGTTTGGCGCTCCTGAGAGTGTGTGGTGCTCGCTGTGGAGCCCTGTTCTTTGGGCCCTTAGGTGTCTCTTCTGGCTAACGTCTGCCCACCCTCCCTCCCTCATTCTGTCCTCAGGGAGAACCTGAGCTCACCTGTGTTTCTTTTCTTGTGTTTTTCTGGGTCCATGGGCAGAATAGAGTTGTAGAATGGTTTCTGACAGCAGAAAAGCTTCACCCATTGATTTCTGCATGCATTTAATCATTAAATTTAAAGCATTAAATCCCTAGTCAAAATACCTCATCAGATAAACTTTGGCCAAATGCATTCCAGAGGAAAAAATATATGTTAGTTTCCTTTTCATGTGTGGTGAGCAGTGTTCGTGTTTTGTGTTCTGTCTCTGCAGGGAGCTGGTCAGTCGCCTGCAGGAGCGGAACGTCCAGGTCTTCCTCATCTCTGGTGGCTTTCGGAGCATTGTAGAGCACGTTGCTGCCAAGCTCAACATCCCTGCAGCCAATGTCTTTGCCAACAGGCTGAAATTCTACTTTAACGGTAAGCTGCCTGGGAGGGAGTCCCATCCCGTCCCCTCTGCTGCTGAGTGCCCAGGGCAGCGTCTGGGGATGAACCTGAACAGGGTTAAATGTGAGATCAGTGATTCCTTGACTGACTGACTGACTGACTGTCATCTTTTGCTCTGCGGCGACTCAGGCCATCTTCCGTCCAGCTTGAGTGTCCATGCCGTCTCTCATCTGTGTAGATTCTGTATCCAGCAAGCGCTGACTCCTGGGTGGCGGGGGCTCTCTTGTGTGTCCCCTTTCCATTCTGTGTGCTCTTATGTGCTAGAAGCTATTTAGCCTCCAGAAGGAGAGTTTCGTTAGCTGGGTCAGCGCACCGTAGCAGCCCCTGGGGATGCTTCCTGGCCCTTGGTGAGTCCTCTCAGAGTCATGGTTGTGGTTTGATATTATTCCAGTAGGGTCAAGAGGCAGCTGATAGTCTTAAAACCAAATCACATTCAATTGTGTTAATATGACTTTTTTTTTTAAAGGATCAATAGATAGAGATGGATCATTGAAAAATGTAGGGAATGAGGGGCTGGGGCTGGGGCTCAGCAGTAGAGCACTCACCTAGCACATGCAAGGTGCTGGGTTCGATCCTCAGCATCACATAAAAATAAATAAAATAAAAATTTTAAAAATTGTGTAAAAAAAAAAAGAAAAAGGTAGGGAATGAATGTGATACTCTATTAAGAATAGTAATAGGGGCTGGGGTTGTGGCTCAGTGGTTGAGCGCTTGTCTAGCACGTGAAAGACCCTGGGTTTGAACACGTGAAAGGCCCTGGGTTTGATCCTAAGCACCACATAAAAATAAATAAATAAAATAAAGATATTGTGTCCAACTACCAAAAAAAAAAAAAGAATAGTAATAATTGAAAGTAAATTAGAATTTCCTCTTAAGTGAAATTAAATATCAACATTACAAGTTTAATACATTACTATTTTATGGTTTTTAGAATTCCTACACTGGCACCTTGGAGGATACAGTGGGTCACCCAGCATGTTTAGACCTCACAGAGCCACTTCTGCGGAGGTGACTGTAACTCAGAGGCCAAGATGATCTATTCTGAGGAGTAACGCTGGAGCCTAGGCTGCAACTTTTAGCCTCTCAGGGACATCATCTGTGCAGAAAGCTTGCCCTAGTAACTTGCCTCTGAACTTAACATGTTTTCTCTGCTCTCTTAAGGTGAATATGCAGGTTTTGATGAGACACAGCCAACGGCCGATTCTGGTGGGAAAGGAAAAGTTATTAAATTTCTAAAGGAAAAATTTCACTTTAAGAAAATAATCATGATTGGAGATGGAGCCACAGACATGGAAGCCTGTCCTCCTGCTGTATGTATTGAGGGCACTCTTGTTTTTGTTTTTCAAGATGGTGTTTTGTTTTAGACAGCTGATTCAGAAGTCCATCAGGTTTGCAATAGAAATTAAACCAAACAGCCAGATACCACCATAGAATAGAAACCCCAACAGCCAGAAGGCATGCAGTCTCTTTCCGTTGGCTGGCTTTGCAAGCCCAGGAGGACTTGTGAGCGGGCCTCCTGTCTTCCAGACCTGAGCCCGTTGTCTGTGGTTGGTGCCACCGTGAGGGAGCCTAGTGCTCTGAGGCCTGGCTTCAGCCCACGGCACTGGCCCCCTTGCAGCTGCACTGCCTCCCTGCCCTTGAGGCCTCCCGCAGCCCTGGGGAAGGAAGTACCTTCCTTTTATGAGACTAGTGGGGTCTTATTTCTGAGGAGTTAAACCCTGAGCAGGAAGCATTGCGGTGGGGCCAGCCTCCTGATAGCCATGCATGCGATTCCCCAGGGCCATGGGGTAGATGTTCAGAACCCAGGCAGTCTCTCCATGTGGCTTGGCTTCGTCTGTGTCTGCCTTGGGTTAGGAGGGCGAGGAGCAGGTCGCCTCCTCCCAAGCCCCAGGTTGGCAGGCTCTGGTGTCCCTGGGTGAGGATGCTCAGCTCTACAGGACAGCTTGTTCTTCCAGGCAAACATTGCCCTGAGTGATGCTGTGTTGGCTTAAACAATGACCCCCTTTCTTTTTCTTAGGATGTTTTCATTGGATTTGGAGGAAATGTGATCAGGCAGCAGGTGAAGGACAACGCCAGATGGTACATCACTGATTTTGTGGAGCTCTTGGGGGATCTCGAAGAATAATCTCCATTTTTTTACACAGCTCGTGACAACTTCAGATTAATTTTTACAAGTTACACAGATTGATACTATTTGATTATAGTTGCCTGTGACAACTTAATATATAAAGTCGGTACTGATTTTCTATATGTTCAAGTAAATTATAGTTAGGACTCCTAGAAGATTGCTTTCTTTTTCTTTTTTAACTGTAGTCTAGTATTTTTATGACCATCAATTACCTAGAGAGTTGTATTATCTGAATTCCTGTGTACCGTACCTGTGTACATTGCTGGCTGTATTTTACTTGAGGCCTTTCAAGGGTGTATGGTAAAATAAGTACCTTCTCTCTGGCAGCATCCATTTGGCAGCCTCACCGGAACCCTGGTTTTCCCCTTTGGTGTACAAATAAAAATCTATCCACCCTCCAGGTCAGATTTGTGGAATCTTTAGTTCTGCCTCTTATGTAGTCCAGTACCCCAGCCTCAAGGACTATGGGTGTATGGGTGTCTGCAGGCAAGGAGGAGCCTGGGGTCTGTGCAGCGCATTGGTCAGCATCCTGGTTCCATACGTTCCCCTGCGAGGCCCTGGCCGGGCAGGGAGAAGTCCCTTTCCCACCTCTTAGGATTGGTTATGTATGGAGGGCTGAAAGGCCTTAAAAAAATAACAATGGAGCTTTAAACAAGACTACTGGTCTTACAAGATAGATGTTGGAAAATCACATCAAGGAAAAGAAAGAAAACAGGTTTTGCCTCACCAGGGAAGGTGGGCCCCCCCCCCGCCACGCCCCCACACACCACACCGACTGAGCAACACCTAGTAGCCGCATGTCTGTCTGAACCCTGTCTGTAGGTGGCTTGGGAAGAAAGACCTGAGAGTCGGGCTCCCTTTTGTTCCGAACTGTGCAAGGAGAGGGTCGTTGCAGAAAATGTTTTGAAAGTATGAGATTATGCGCCCTTCCTGGCTGAAACCCGGGGAAGGGGAGAGGCGGGCCAGGAGGAGGGCAGAAGCCCCTGCCTCCCATGGGATCTGGACCCTGGGGCCTGCACGGCCTAGCGGGATGGGACTCAGGGGCCTGCACGGCTGAGCTGGGTGGGACTGGGGGGGTGGGGTCCTGCACGGGCCGAGCGGGGTGGGACTAGGGTCTGCACTGCACGGCGGAGCGGGCCTCTACCCCTCGCTGCATCCCCAGCCCCAATCAGGATTGAATATTGGAAGTCACTTGAAGAATTTGACCAAATACTTAAGTTTGGCCAAATAATCAAATAATTATGTAGCCAGATAAGTCAGATGAGTGCAGCTGCCCTCAAAGCCACCTCGGTGGGAGCGGCACAAAGCGGGCTTGACAACAGCAGTTCGATCTCAGGCGTTGAGCGCCGCTGGCACCTCGCCTGGGCTGTTCTGGCCTCTGGCTCCAGCGGCGAGCTCTAGGCTGGACCTGGCCTGCAGGCCTGGGGGCTGCCGCGGCCTTCGCTCTGCGGTGGCTTCACCTTTACCGCCACCCAGCTGCGGGAGCTGCCTGTGCGGGAACAAGCTGCGGCGCAGATGGGGAGCTGCCGCCAGCAGTAGGCGCTGGGCGACCGGGCTCTGTTCTGCCAAGGAGTCGAGGAGTCGCGACGCCCACTTGCAGCCTTTTGTCGAACAGAGCACGCAGCCCCTCCTCCCTAATGGCGCCAGCTGAGGAAAGCCAAAGGCGGTCTGGACAATCGCGTCTTTGTTGTGGAGGCTGAGTCTGAAATAGCGCAAGAATGTGCCACCCTCTCCTGCTTCTCTGATTCTGGACTCCTGGGAGTTAGGTGGCTGCACAGGATGGGATCAGGAAATGGCAGCAGTGTCCTGTGGCCTCCTGTTCTCATGACACCGTTTATTCACTCTATGAGAACTGTTTATGAAACCGAAGATGTTATGTCATCGGTATCGGTCCTGGTTCTAAACTGTAGGCAGGCCCGGGTGCCTTCGCCCATCCCCAGCCTGCCCTCCCCAGGTCAAGGCTTTGACAGTCTCTGTCTCCTATTGGATGGAGGCTGTAGGTTTTGTTTGGTTTTGATACTGGGAATTGAACCTGGGAGCTAAGGTACTCCCCAGCCCTTAATTTTGTTGCTGAGGCTGGTCTCCAACTGGCAGCCTTGTGCCTGGAGGCCAGTGTCTGGGAGGCCAGTGGGGAGGCCCAACGTGGCTGTACTCCCCAGGCTGGGGCTGGTGTGGGTGGATCTTTGCGATCAGAAACCTGGGAGTGGGGCACCTGTGAGCCGCAGGTCCCGCCCCACCCAAGGTGTCCCCATGCTTTCTCACAGCTCTGAGGTCAGCAGTGGCTCCTGCTGTCCCCTGACAGTTGGGAAACTGCTCACCAAAGCAAAATGCTGCTCTGAGGTCGCATCCCAAGCCCGGCCCAGGCCAGTGGTGTCACTGTAACCTCCATCCTGAGCCTACTGGAGAGTTAAAGATTTACCATCTCCAGCCCAAGTGAACTGACCAGAGCATGGTCGAGTTGAAACAGCAAACGAAACCTCACTCCCCAGTAGAAGGCCTGTTCTGCTGAGAAGTTGGGTGGTTTTTTCATTTTCTACAACAAATACAAAGCACAGATTCACTTCCATTTACCTTTCATTAGCTTGGGGCCGTGAGGCAGCGCAGGGACTCCATGCAGGCCTTTAGCGGGAAGCTGCCACAGTCCCTGCCACTGTCTGCAGGGTGCCAGTCACTTTCAAGGTGGCTCTGGTGGCGCTTAGGTTGCTGCTGGGCATTACCGTGCTGCTCCTTGTGTGTTCACATGGGCGTGGTTCCTCTTGGTGGCAAATACTTGCAACTCCAAGGAGAGCCCTGGGCTCCCTTCCCTTCAGGAGCTCTTGTTCATAGCCGGCAGCTTGGCCTCTGTCTGCCCCAAGTCCCAACCCAGCAGGCCCCCAGCAGGCCTCTGCAGGCTGCGGGGGGAGCAAAGAGCCAAGTGGCTTTCCTTTTCTTTTGGCCTCAGCACATGCTAGGCGAGAGCTCTACCCCTAAGCAACACCCCAGCCCCAGGTTTTTTTTAAGATCACTAAACTCTGAAGACAAAGTACAAGAAATGGAGGACTGTTTGGTATTTTGCTGATCACATTTCCTAATTTTGAATATATTTCTATATATTAATCCTCTTTTGAGTTGTTTTTATTGAGTTTACCTAGACATCTCACTAATTTATTAGCACTTTAGAACTTGGATTGTAAGTGGTGTGAACAAAGACACTGCCCATCTTCTGAGTGCGTGTTTTTTCAAGTAGAACTGATGGTGGTCAGGCGTGTGGGTCAGTGGTGAGCACTCACCTCACAGGCATAAAGTCTAGATTCATCCCAAGCACCAAAGGAAAAAAAAATCCCAAAGAACTGCCAGTCTCCATACTTTCTCTTTCCCTCCCATCCACTGAGTCATTAACATATTATTGAATGGACATCTCTGATGTTCTAGATAGAAACCAAAAGTATAAATTTAATAAATAATAATGTGGAGATGATTTACAAAAAGATGTTTTGTTGGCAGTTGTGAAAAGAAAAAAGGGGGCAGGTTCTATCAAGGGGTAGCTGAGAGGAAAGGAAGGCAGAATGCAGTACCAGGGCTTTTCACAGTGGCAGTGATGCCAGCTGAAAGGGACACCTGTTTTATGAAGCAGACCAGAGCATCCTCCTGCATCGTACTTGGAAATTTCTTGGCTCATGCAATAACCACCAGACTTACACCCAGTGAACAGAAGATGAGTTTGGATAGCAGTAGGAATAGGTTTAATAAATGATTTGACAATCTGGGTGGGAATTGCTATGATAGAGACAGTTTCATAAATCAGTTTAATAACAACATTTGAGTGGAGGGTCACCAGTGACCACCATGTTGCTAAGTCAGTGGTGAGTTTTCAGACCCATCTGACCCAGCCTGTGGCTTCCAGTGGGCTGTCTCGCCTATACCTGGGGAATTGTCCTCAGGTAGCCCTCTCAGTATTCTCCTCTCCCTGGTGCTTTCTTGGCCTTCCCTGCTGGTTTCCCACATGGGCTCTGAAAGGTGAGTGACTCACGAGAGACAGAGATTCAACCAAGAGATTTTATTGGGGGGCTGCCCGAAGGAGAGGCAAAGAGCAGAGAGAGAAGAGGAGGGCAGAGAGAGAGAAAGAAGAGGAGGAGGGCAGAGAGGAAGAAGGCAGAGAGAGGGAAGAGAGGAGAGAGAAGAGAGCGTATGCTTAGAAACTTCAGCTTCAGAAGGGTTGCATAGGGGATGTGGTGGGTGCTGATTGGCAGAGTGACTCAGGAACAGCGAGCAGACACTGTGTCCTGTGGGGATTGGTGGGGGAAACCTTTGAATTTGGTGCTCTTGGCTTGGCGCCCTTTGGAGAGGAGGGGGATGGGTAAGGGAGTCCATGATGTTCTCCAAGAAGGGGTCTACCACACACCCAACAGGCTCTCCATCTGCATCCATCCCTTATGAGCTCACCCTGTCTCACCCGAAGTTCTGTGTTTGGACAATGGGAAGAGTGGCCTTCAGGCCAGACCACACTTCTGAATTCCAGATTCAGAACCAACATCCCTCCTGACATCTCCACCTGGGCACAGGCCTGGGATCTTAAATTCAATGTGATTTAGACAGAATTCCTGCTTTTTGCTTCCTAATCTGTTCCATCTGCAGCCTACCCCATCTTTCTAGGTCCTCAGGCCAGAACCTTAGGGCACTTTGGATTTCTCTTTCATTTGCACTCCACAGTTGATTCTTCTGGAACTCATGTGGCTCTGCCATCAAAGGGCATTTAGAATCTGAATTCCCTCCCTACTTCTACTGCTCATCCAAGCCCCCATTTAAAATGTAAGTCCGGTTATGCCCCACCTCTGCTTGGAGCTTCTGGCTTAGGGTAAAAGTCAAGGTCCTCCTGAGGCCACCCCTTGACCGGAGTCACCTCCCCCAGCACTCCCTCTCCTCTGCTCCACTGCAGTGATCTCCACTGTGCTCAGCATACACTAGGTGTGACTCTGGGCACAGAGGCATTTCCCAATGTCGGCTGGCATCTTCATGTCTTCCATCCTTCATCTCAGCTTTTAGTGAGTGTGCCTTGGCCGTGTTCTTGGTACCTCATCCTGATCCCAGTCCACCCTTAGACTTCACCTCCATCACCCTGTGCTTCCTGCACACTATTGATCAGCTTCTACCACCATGTGAATTATTTACAGTACTGTTAAATCTTAACCGCCAGCCTTCTCTGTCTCCTCTCCTTCACAAGAGCAGCAGGCGGATTGGTTCACGAGGTGCTCAAGGCCGAGCACCTTGCGAACAAACCCGCCTGCTGGTAAGCTCAGTATCTGTTGAACAGAATGAAGACTAAACCCAGGTCTCAGGCTGCCCTGTGAGGCCCTGTGATTAGGGCAGGATGACTGTTCCCAGGAAAGGGTGCATCCTGAGGGGATTCCATTTCAGAGGGTCACTCTGTTTCCTGCTTTTCTGAACAGAAAGATCCTTTACAGAAGCAAGATCAAGAGACAGAAGCAAGAGATCATGTGGCTTTTGCATGTTCCCTCTGGTACCTGTAGAGGGGTACTCTCCAGGAACTCAGTGGCCTGTGGGTGGGAACCGGATGAGGTCACAGGGAGAATGGCCTCTAAACAGCATTTCATTACAAATTCACAATTTTCTAAACTTAATTTTTAGTTTTTGAGACGGGGTCTTGCTCTGTTGCTCAGGTTGGCCTCAAGCTCACGATCCTTCTACCCCAGCACCTGTTAGTCCTTGCAATCCCTACGTGACTGTCCGTTTCCAGCAGCCCCTCCCAGCTCAGAGCAGCCACATCACCTGCACTAGCAGTACCTCACTTTTCCATGTCTTCTACTTTACACATCCTGCCAACGTGAGTTCAGCATCTGGCCTGGGCCAGGCACTCCACAGGTGGAGGGATAGTGGGAGGACCCTCCAGGTCTTCAAGGACTTAGATGGGAAAAGAAGAACTGTAGTTTCACCAACACTCCATGAGCAGGCCTGAGCAGGTGTTTTCTCCTCAATCTGCAGGTCAGGCCCCAGCTAGTAGATGTGAATAGCTGTGCAGGTAGGCAGAAGGGTCCAGTGGGAGCTGCGGTGCTCTGTGCCACAGCTCCTCCTCCTGCACAACCCCTAACAGCAGCACAAGTCTTTCTCTGCACAAGTCCACACAAATAAGATCATAAACACACAATATGAGAAAACTAAGAGGATTTTATTGACTTTTATATGTTCTTGGAGAAAACCATTCACATGTAAAACTTTGACATTTGATGAGATTTATTCACACTTTATTTTACACATAAATTCCTCAATTTGTGGGGAAGACATGATTTTTCAGTTCAACAGGTCTTTCACATGATTACAGTCACAAAATTGGCACACTACTTTAACAACTGAACCCAACAGGCAGGACAAAGGGTGAGCTGGACGCTGACTCAGACCTAACAGGCCTCCTGCAAGGCCTTGGGATCACCTTCTGTGAGCTTACTAAAATACCAACCCAGTGCCTCAGGTCATAAGTGATTGTTCACAAAATAAAACCTCTATTCCAAGTGCTGCTTGTTTTATAGAAAAATATTACAAATAAAAATTAGTGCTATTCCAGGCGTTCATTTTAAGTTCACACAACACAGGTCAAGCCACGCTCTGCAGACATCACTGCACCCTATGGGAGCCTGAGCCACTGACTGAAGCACCCCAGCTTCCACAGCCCGGTGCTTACACTGCTGACTCTGCTGATTAAAAATGCAGGTAAGCTAATAGCTTCAGGTGTTTAGGACACTCATAATTTGTTCCTAGTTTGAGACTCAGAAAAAAATGCTCCAGGAACGTGACAAAATTTGTATTTCTTCCTGATACAAGAAATTTGTCAAAATCTGTAATTATAAAACAGATTTGCTATTTAGAAAGCAAAGCCTGGATGTTTTTCATGGGTGGAATCTTATTCAGATATGATTCAAATTTTAATCTGGACTGGGCTGCTGGAGAGAGGGGCAGGTGGCCAGTACTGCCAGGTGGTTTGACAGACATGGGAGGTTGGCCCTGCTAGCCAGTCCGAGGCAGTGTCTCGTTCACAGATGATGTGGGTTGTAAGGAGGTCTCTCAGAAGCTATGTACAGCAGCTTACACATCCGTGTTTCTCTCTCGTCGATGCACAATTCATCTATGACATGCCTGTCCCCAGACTCGCGCAGGCACACGGATTCTCTGCTCTACTGTAGGGGTGAGGTCTTCAGTGGGATCATGATTCTGGATTCCATTTCCTGAATGAGTGGGACTGAACACAGCAGCAAGGTCAGTGTGCTGGTTTCTCCACTGCACTGCACGACACACACCAACAAGCAGGCTACTGAGATGACGAGCCCGGAGGCAGAACTGAGTTCAGGGCAGGTTGGCTAGCCTCCTATAGGATGTTATTAAAACTGGACAAGATCCTACCTAGAAATGTGTTTCATGTGTGGGAAAGTAGGAAAGTCCATATTGTGACAAAAAAAAAAAAAGGTGATTTCTCAAAAGGTTCTTTTAATTAAAATAAAATTATATAAAATCAAACAATACTATATTTGCATATATTCTGTACAAAGAGAGAAAGAGAGAGATAGTACTTGTAAAACTGCCCTGTGAGGCAAACACAGCTTTGGGAGCTGATGGAGAGGGTAAGAGTAGCCAGAATCACATGATCTTTAAAAAAAAAGACAAGGTGATACTTACTTCCCTGAATAAATTACTCTTGCATTTTCTTGGTAATATATGGGCTTAAAAATACCTGACATACAACATGGTTGGTATTCAGGGGGTCTGTTGGCATCACTGGGGTGTACTTATGATTTATGTGTGTATATGTGTATGTATACATGTATGTATATGTGTGCATGCATATGTGTTTTACCAAACTGATTTACCAAACTTAATTTCTTTTCTTTTATTTTTGGTACCAGGATTGAACCCAGGGGTGCTTAACCAATGAGCCACATCCCCAGTCCTTTTTATTTTTTTATTCTGACACAGAATCTCACTAAGTTGCTTAGGGCCTTGCTAAGTTGCTGAGGCTGGCCTTAAACTTGGGATCCTCCTGCCTTAGCCTCTCAAGTGGCTGGAATTATAGACTTGAGCCACGGTTTGCCTGGCAAAATTACTCTTCTCAATTGACCTACTATGGTTATGTTTTTTGGAAATGACAATCTTGATGAGAAAGAGAAAGTTTAAAAAATTTGTGTAACAAATTTTCAAAGAATCTAGAAATCTACAAAACAAACAAAACCCCCCAAAGAAGTAATATTGTAAAATTCACAACATCCAAGGGTCTGAAAACTGTCCCAGGCAGTATACATATGTGAAAGAATCAATGTTCTTCTTTACAAAAACAAAGTCAAGTAAGTGTTACAGAAAATATCTACACCTCCACTCTTTCCACCCTGTTTTTATAGAATACACATTAGCTTCAGGGTGAAAGAACATAGCTGGAGCTGCAAGAATCAAATCCTTGAGGACTGTTAGAATACTACCTGGGTGGGGCTGGGACGCAGCTCAGCAGGAGAGTGCTTGCCTAGCACCAAGGAGGCCCGGGTCCAATCCCCAGCACTGTGACAACCAGACACGCACACTCACGCAGGGTCTGCTTCTTGTGCCTCCAAGTGTTACCTGTGTAGTACACCAGCTCTTCCCAGCCATGTTTGTGCCAGGCTGCGTTCCGTATATCTTCCCTGGTCTGAAGATCCTTGTAAGCTTGAAAATAATCACACAGAAAAAGCAAGACTTCGACATCATGCCCTGTATTGCAGTGGTCACTATTCGACAGGTCACGGGGTTTTCTCAGATACTACCATGGGCACTTAGTACCCAGCTGGGAAAACGGCATGTTCACCTGAGAAAACACAGTCTGGGCCTGGTGGGAGAAGCAAAGCAACCTGCCCTGAGCCCTGGCAGCCTCCTGAGGCAGGGCCACTCCACACACATGTCAACTCATGACTGGGCACCGTGGACCACAGACAACAGCCACTTCGAGCGCGGAGGTTCTGGGGACTAACACATGGGGAGAGCACCTGCCCAGCTCCTGAGACCAGGTGAGGTCCCAGCACCACAGAAACAAACAAAACAAACTCCACTTTAGGTGAGAGACCCTGAGTGTAGCACAGAGAGGTGGAGCCAGGCAGCCCAGCGAGTGCAGGGCACATAGGAGCACTCCTGGAGAGCTGCCTGGAGGAGTCCAAAGGTCCACAGCAGCCTGCCGGGCTGACCCCTGAGTCCCTGGCAAGGACTTCCCACTACTTGCACTGCTTGCTGGTAAGTACCCGTGGGCATCTCCACATGGGGTTGCTTGAGGCTGAAGGACTCCTGGGTTCTTCCTTCCTTCCAGTTCTCAACAGAACTGCAGGGCCTCCTGGCTGGGAGAAGGCCTGTCAGCTCACCGTGTGGACACAGGGTTTTCCCTAGGACTCACAGCCTGGGGGTGCTTCCACAGTTTCAGTTGTATTTTCAGTATGGTAAAATAAGCCTACACAGCACTGACCACTGTGGCCAGTAAGTGCAGTGTTCTGGTGGGAACTCCCACGGCCGCACATCCTCAGCACTGCCGTCCACACAGCCTTCCCACCCATGTCTCCCTGCAGCTCCTGCCTGTTGCCCAGTAGCCACCAGCCTGCTGCTCTCTGGACACTGTGTGCCACACCCAGGGAGAGCACACAGCAGGAGCCCTTCTCTACCACCTCACTTCAGTTAGCCTGATGTCGCAAGGCTCGTCTGTGTCTGACAATGATCAGAACTTTATCCTGTTCTATGGCTGAATGATGCTCAATTCTATGTATATTCCATATTTATTTATCCATTCTCTGCCTTTCTCTTCTTTGGGGGGTGGCTGACATTTTTATCTCTTTCTTTTTTTTTTTTTTTTGTCCCAAGGCTCAAACCCAGAAGTGTTTAACCACTGAGCCACATCCCTAACCTTTTTTTTTAAGCAACTCTCTCTCTCTCTCCATATATATATATAGATATATTGTTGATGGACCTTTATTTTATTCATTTATTTAAATGTGGTGCTGAGAAGCAAACCCAGTGCCTCACACATGCAAGGCAAGTGTTCTACCACTAGGCCACAACCCCAGCCCTCCCCAGCCCTTTTTTTTATATTTCATTCTGACACAGAGTCTCACTAAGTTGTTGAGGGTCTCACTAAGTCTCTGAGGCTGGCTTTGAACTTGCAATCCTCTTGCTTCAGCCTCCTGAGCTGCTGGGATTACAGGTATGGACGTCGCACCCAGCTGTGGGATGACTTTCAAAGGTGGCCTTGAGCACAACACCATACTGGAAGGGGGGCATGGTGGGGTGGTGGGTGGAGGAGACTGAGGAGGGTGGGAGAGGGATAGTCCTACAGGGGTAAGAGAAGGAGAGACTCTGACAGCCAGGAGTGCTGAGCCAGAGCCTGGCTGGGCCACTCAACTGTGTGGTCTGAGCACCTGTTTGCCAGCTTTGAGCCACAGGGTTAGGAAAAAAGGGATGATGTGTCAAACAGCAGAGTGGCCTACAGGTTGGAGAGGCCTGATGAATGCGGGCTGTCTTGCTCCAGAAACATGGCACTGTGGGGTAGGCCATGGAGAGAGCACATCTGCACACCCCAGGTCCCCTCTCATAAGGGACTGGGCAGGGATATGGGGGATGCAGACTGGGACAAAGGTGGACACTTTGGCATGGGAGGAAGGCAAAGAAGGGGTCTGGGCCTCTGCACAGGGAGCACCTGCTGCTCCAGGGGCCTGGAGGCAGTGAGGGCCTGCCAGGCTCCGCTGCACCTGCCTGTCGCAGCCCCAGCTCTTCACCAGGGAGTCCCATCCAGACCAGGTGGGTGGCAGGTGACATGTGCTGAGAAGGGACGTGCTCCTGGCTTGACCCCTCTCGACAGGTGAATCATGGGGTGACAGAGGTCCTCCTCAGTGTGTCCCTGGCTCACCTGGATGCCTCTTTAGGCAGAGACAATGGAGAGGCGTGGGGCAGGCCTGACTTTTCAGTTTGTATCCACTGGACAGATGCCAGTTTTGAAATAATAAAAATGACTCCATACTCACTTCAAATTAGGCCCTAAAGATTAAATTACGTGTATCTTAATCGCAGAAGGCCAAAGGCAGAACACAGTGTAAAAATGTTTTTAACCTACTGCATTGGAAAACCGACACTCCTGGGGTGGAAACTGGGCTGGAGAGAACTGAGCTCTGGGCAGCTGTGCTACCCTCCGTGCTCCACACAGCTGAAGGGCACACGGCACCTGTCACTTGGTGTAGGATTTCAGCCCCCTTCGCTGCAGGGACATCCCGTGCATGGGCTGAGGTGAGTGGCATCTGGACTGCGCAGGGTGTCTGGGGGTGAGGTGGGAGAGCTCCCTCAGACTGCAGGGCATTTGTGGGGGCAGGCACCAGGGGCACAAAGTCAAGGCTACCTTTTCGCCTAAACTGACCCTCTCAGACCTAGCTTCCCAGCAGCTGGCTGCCAGGCAGTTGGTATGCACTGTGTGGCTCTCTGAGGACTCTATTTCCTCCTCATTCAGCCCCTCTTCCTACCTTGCTTGTCAATTCCACCTGGATCCTGAGGTCCTGCTCACCTCTTGGCTCTTAGGATTTCCCCAAATACCTCTCACTTTAAGTCCTCTTTAGGCCTCTGAGTATCCTGATCACCTCCCCAGGAAGTGGACCATGCACACCCTAGGTCACGGCACTGGTGTTTAATGCCTCAGAGACCTGCTGGCCGAGTCTCTAAACCCTGAACACTGACATAGCAGGCAGACAGGCTCCCGAGACCCGTGGAACCCAATCAGGCAAACTACCCAGCCCCTCTCCGTTGACTAACCCAGCCTGACCATGAGTTATCCTTTTCCTTGGGGGCCTCTTGACCATGTCCAGAGGCATGTCCAGCCTCACGCTGAGCCCTGGATCCTACTCTAGCTGGGAGGGAGGCGCAAAGCCATCAGAGCATCAGCCAGCATCACACAGGGCTTGGGGGCAGTGACATCAGCCAGATCACTCCTGTGGTGTGGGAGGCAGTGACACTCATTCCCAGGGGTGAGTAACATCTGAATCAGGCCCTGAGGACACCAAAGGAGGTGCCAAACAGAAGTTGGTGGGTAGGGCAGAGAGGGAGAGGGAGAAAGGTACTGGGACAGGGCACTCTCTCAACACAGGAAGTGGGAGAGAGTATGGGGATGCTCTGGGCTGGGGTGAGGAGGGTGCAGAAGGTGAAGAGGGCGCAGCCCCAGGGTTTGTGAGCCACTCCTCACCACCCCTCTGTCCCTTCGCTGGGCTCCCTGGTCTCCAGTAGACCATTGGCCTTTGCCTCTGTGTGTTGGGACAGGCCTGCACTTGGTCTGAGGTCTGAGGTTGGGGATGTGCCATGGTGCTCATGGCTGCTGATCTGCGCCATCACCCAGCACGACCTGATTAGGAATGGGCGCCTAAGTTCCAGCCACTCAGAGCAGAGGGGGCGTACCTACCCCAAAGGTGGTGCACCATGTACAGCTGCCCAATCTGCGAGAAGAACCCGCCCACTGCCTCGTTACTGTCTTGTCTAAAACGGATGGCCCGAGCCCTACAAGAGAAAAGTAGGCAGGGTTAGAAGCTGAGTCAGTAGGCTACCCCTCCCACAAGCAGGCCGTTTGTTTAGAACAAAGATAGCTGCTCTTAAAGTCATCAAATTGCTACCAGACTATTAAACACAATCAGAAGTCACTTTAGTGCATGTGAAAGACAAATACACCTCTCTGTAGCTGCATCATTTTTGAGAGAAGTGAAAAGGATTTCATGACTATTCACATGAACAGTGACATCAGGTACATATGTGGCTGCCAGAATTCCTGATATAAGAAAACTGGCAGAGATGACCTGGCAACTTAAAAATAATTGCTTCTCCAAGGACACTCTTTAGGAGAAAGTGGGGCACTAAACACCAGGACTCCAGAGGGAATTTCCCCCATAGGAGACAAAGCCCACCCTGGAGGATGGGGCCAAGCACAGAAGAGAGCATCACTCTTTCACAGTAGCCAGAGGGCAGCTCCTGAGAAGCATGGCACTGAGAGCCACTGTAAAGCAGTGGGAGAACAGACAGCAGCTTCTGGGCAGGCACCATCAGACCATCACTGTCACCAGCAAAGTTACCGATGGGTCCCTTTCTAATCAGAGCAATCCATCGGAAAATGGATACTAAGAGGCACTCAACATGTACTATATATGCAAGAAAGTTCATCTGCACACAACACCAAAGTGTGATTAAAGTGGCTAAAGATTGTTTAAAATCGCTGGGCATGGTGGCACACACCTGAAATCCCAGTGGCTTGGGAGGCTAAGGCAGGAAGATCACGAGTTCAAAGCCAGCCTCAGCAACTTAGTGAGGCTCTAAGGAACTAAATGTGACCCTGTCTCTAAATAAAATATTTTAAAAGGGGCTGGGGATGTGGCTCAGTGGCTAAGCGCCCCTGGGTTCAATCCTTAGTAAAAAAAAAAAAAAAAAAAGAGTTGTTTAAAATTTTGCTGCCAAAGGCCATCAGTTCTCCAATTTGAGCACCTTCTTTCATACTTGTATTGGGTACCTTTTTTTAGAATTGAAAGTGAAAATGAAGTCAGGGGCTGCAGATGTAGGGATGCCACCAGAAGTAAAGCTGGAGCTGTCAGAGCCCTCCCTCCAGGTATCACCCAGGACACTGGTGCCAGTGCTGCCCAGGCTCAGGCCTACAGCCAGCACACCCTGAGTCAACAGGACTTGGGAAGGCACTCAGCATAACTTGTCTTCAACGGGCTGGAGGCACATGGCCAAGGACACCACCTACCAACACCTGTGGGGCAGGCGTGACCCCGGGGGATACTGAGACTCCGAGGCTGGCTGGCCAGCTCATCCTCCTATAGGAGCTGAATCATGCCATCTCACAGGGCGTGAAGTCTGCACAGGAACAACCTGGGAGTGAGGATGCAGTCTGCCTGGGACCACTCTGCACACATGTTCTCTTCCTCCACTTGGGGACACCAGCACCTGGCCAGGCCCAAGTTCTCGGCTTCTTGTGGTAGAGCCCCCATAAGTTGGCCATGACAGTATTAGATTCTTTTACCTTTACATTTGTAAGTAAGTGATCAATAACTTCATGAAAATTACACATCAGATTGGTAAATTATTGAAATTAAGCAAATTAATTTAATGTGCATTCTAAGTCTGCTCAGAAGGAAAAATCTATTTCATTGAGTGATAAAGTGTTCCGGATTATTCTTTTCATTCTGGATTCTTCTAGTTCATTCGTGGAAGGCAAAGGAAACATACCTGCCTCAGCCTGCTAATGACCAGAGCATGCACTGAGAGGAAACCACCGTCTCAATAGTCACCTATGTGCCAGAATACAAATTCAGGGTTGAACTGGGACATGAAAATTTTTATAAGGAACTGAATAACCTCATTACATCCTTGTGGATTCCCTACCAAATCTTAATTAGTAATATGCACAAATTAAATTGAACATCTAAGTTATTACAGTTACAGGCCAAAAACAAGAAGCATAAGAACAAAGGAGAATCCCCCAATGGACTAGTGTGCATAGCAGCACACCATCAAGAGGATGTCTTGGCTTCAGACTAAAGATCTTGTGGCTGGTGTTACTGAGCTTGACATCCGAGGAAAGAGCTGTTAGAAATAGAAATCTCAGGACCATGTGCCAGGGCCAAAGAGATCTGTACCGATGTAACACAAAGTGAGAAACTTCATGATTGAAACAGGAATGCTTCAATACAAATTGAAAGTAAGTAATAGCCACAGATTCAGGCTTAAAGAGCACCCATGAGGACCAGCACCGCCAAGTTGCTTCTACCCTGGGATTCTCCCAAGCACTGCTCGGCCTCTTCTGTGAGAAGATAATGCCATGGAGGCTATAAGGTGGCTGGTGCAGGCATACAGAGCCATCAGCCTCAGGTACTCTTTTTAGTTTTCCATCTTCAACGTAGTGTTCTCAAGATTCTCTTGTGCTATCAGTGCAGATCTGGCTTATTTAAACCACTTTGTAAAAGTTCCATGCGTGACTACACTGTGGTCTCTCTCTCCACAGCTTCCAAGTGGTTCACAACTTGGGCAAGTACCGTGGATCTATTTCTTATGTAACCACAGCTTCTGCTGCCCACATGTCCACCCACTCAATATTCACTGACCACCGAAGACATGCCAAGCGTGGAAGAGAGTTGCAGATGGCCCCTGGCAGAGACATGGCGCAGCAGCTGTGTGGGGCACCTCCAGGAGCGTGTGTAGGGACACCTACTCCAGTCTTGGTTGTATATGCCTCACTTTCTTGATTCAGAATCATCCTTGGATCTGAGGCTAAATTACACTAAACGAGGTGTGTTGGATTATATTTTACATGTCAAGAAATTCACTGGTGTACAATTCTGTGGTTCTCAGTAAATCCACAGGCTGGTGCTGTGATCACAGTCCAGCTGTGCCAAAGCCCCTTCATGCCCATTTGCACTCATGTCCGCTCCCATGTAGCCAGGACCCATTAGTCCACCCTATGTTTGCACAGAGCTGGCTCTTTGGAAACTTCATGAATGGAGCAGTACAGTAGGCAAGGTGGCGCGTGCCTGGAATCCAGGTACTTGGAGGCTGAGGCAGATCGCAGGCCAGCCTCAGCAAATTAGCAAGTCCCTACGCAATTTAGTGAGACCCTGCCTCAAGATAAAACAAAAAAGTTAAAAAGGCTGGGGATATGGCTCAGTGGTTAAGTGCCCATGGGTTCCATCCCCAGTATCAAAAAAAAAAAAAAAAAAAAAAAAAAGAAAGAAAACTGACCACTAACCTTTTCATTTTTTATTTGTTATATATTTTTACCACCTAACCATTTGGAAGTGCACAGTTCAGTGTGCCATGCATGTCTGCACTGCTGTACACGAGGTATCTAGGCCTTACCACCTGCAGAACCACACTGAAACTCCTGCCAACCCCTGTGAGATCCTTTCCATCTGGCCTGTGACCTGCCTGCATTGGATACGGGTCCTGTGGGTGGATCTGCCTATCTGTCTTGCTGTGACTGGCCTTTCCACGTCATAGCAGCGATGACCCCCGCTTTCTCAAGGCTGCATGCTATTCTACTCTGTGCCCCTCAGGATGCATCTGCTCTTAGACACTGAGCTGCCTCTACCTCTTGGCTGCTGTGGATGGGGCTGCAACGGATGCAGGCCTGTGAACACATCTGTGGGATCCTGCTTGGATCTTCTTGGATGTTTACCCAAAAGTGGAACTCCTAGATGCTACTATGTGTCCATTTTTAACTTGGGGAACCTCCATGTTGCTTCCCACAGAAGCTGTGAGACTTCACTCTCATGGATACTATCTCTCTGCATCCTGCCCACACGTGCTACTTTCTGCTCTATTGACAGTGGCCATCCTAATAGGTGTTGCGTGATACCCCTTTTAGTTTTGGTTTGTATTTTTCTTGTGTTACTGATGTTGAGCATCTTTTTATATGCTATTAGTCATTTCTATATCTTTTTGTGCTTGGTAGGTACAAGACAATGGATTCAATCCCCAGCTCTGGTAAAAAACCAAACTAAGCCAAATCTGTATCTTTCTTGGAGAATCACCTGCTCAAGCCCCTTACTCAATTTTTAATTGGGTTATCTGTATTCTTTTTTTTTTTTTTTTTGGTATTGGTGATTAAACCCAGAGGTCATCTGCCATTGAGCCACATCCTTAGCCCTTTTTACTTTTTATTTTGAGACATGATCTTGCTAAATTCTGAGACTGGCCTCTAACTTTTGATCCTCCTGCCTCAGTCTCCCAAGTCACTAAGATTACAAGCGTGGCTACCAACCCTGACTGAACTTTTTGTACATGGAATAACCTCACCAATATTTTTGTTTTAAAAATTAAGAATTGTTAGAGTCTGTAAACAAGTCAAAATAACACCTGGCATTTTGCCAGGGGAATGTTAGAGTTCGTAAACAAGTCTGGATGGTGCCTAGCAAAATGCCAGAGGGAGTGGTTTGAGAAGTAACAAAAACAAGCCATTAAGTGTGGAGATTCCTTATTGGTTGACTGATGTATCTAATTTATGCTAATTAGATAAGCTGTGTGGAATGTATAAATACTGCTCCTGTCCTGCAATAAACGGCTCCCACTCCTACTGTTATCAACGTACACAAGTTATTCGTCACCCCCCAGTTATTTTGCTGCAGCTGGACTGTGGTAGATGGTGGCCCGTACGGGGAGCCCCGGGACACTCGGGGGTAAGTGACGAAAAAAAGCTGCCCGTCCATAGATAGGACGGGAGCAAATCTGCTCGTCCCTAGACAGATAGGGCAAGAGGAAAAATGACCATTTCGAGAAAATGGAGAAGATTGATACAGTATGTTTGTGTCTTGTTTTGTCTCAGTGTATTGTATTGTCTTTGTGATGAAAATATGGAAGGGATGAGAAGTAAATTACTAAGGGAAGAAGGCACCCCAGTGGAACCAAGAATAGTTAGGGCATGTGTTGATAAGAGCCCAGGAACTCTAGTCAGAAAGAAAAAGAAAGTTCAGAAGAAGAAGGATTATCAGGAAAAAAGTTGCAGCAAAAGGCTATTACTAAATACTTTTCGTTACCGGAGGGTGCGTGAAGCGGAGAGGCGGCTGCCGAGTGTGCAAGCCGGTCACAGCGCAGCAAGGATTTTCCAAGAGGCGGCGACGACTGGCCCTTCCCTGCCTCCTGGCCGGGGAGCTGGCTCTTCCACTGCCAGGAGCCCAAATCTAGACCTGACCTGGAGGCACAGTCTCGCAGGCTCTTGCTCCCTGTGCCCAATAGCAGTTTGAGTCCAGGACACTCCCCAGGGCCATCTGGGGCTGCCCAGGCATTACAGCCAGCAGAAGATGCTACTGGTGTCCCTGATGTTTGGTCATTTTCAATGCCAATAACTAAGCTACAATGGTTCTCCCACACCTGGAAGCTGATGAGTAATGAGCACTATTAATGCTTATTTCAAATGTAAAAAGCCTTGAGATAATATACTAAATTGTTCAGAAGGTTGCTTTCTTAGTTGAATGCTACAGGATTTTCTTTAGCCATCCAGAGTTCCTGCCTTCGTCCCAGTGCCGATAAAGACCAAGGTGGAAGAATTTTCAGTGTTGCTGAAAACCAGACGAGACTTCGGCTGAGAAACGGATGAAACTTCGGATTAAGCTAGCTGCCTGCAGAACTTACCTGGACTGTGATTTAAGCTAGCTGCTTGCAGAACTTACCTGGACTGTGACTTAAGCTAGCTGCCTGCAGAATTTACCTGGACTGTGAGTTAATCTATTGAGACACTGCTTTACCTGGACTGAGACAACAAACTGTAATCTACAACAAATTGTAACTCGGTATCTTTGCAAATGGTGTCATTGCTGGTATAATTTTTCCAAGGGCTTCTTGCATGGAGCCATCGATTGGCTTGGTATTATGGCATTTTGTATCCTCCCTTTCTGTTTGTAGCAGGTTATTTATGATGTTTCTGTAAAAACCACTATGGTCGTTATTTAAATTAAACAAAAGGGGGAAATGTTAGAGTCTGTAAACAAGTCAAAATAACACCTGGCATTTTGCCAGGGGAATGTTAGAGTTCGTAAACAAGTCTGGATGGTGCCTAGCAAAATGCCAGAGGGAGTGGTTTGAGAAGTAACAAAAACAAGCCATTAAGGGTGGAGATTCCTTATTGGTTGACTGATGTATCTAATTTATGCTAATTAGATAAGCTGTGTGGAATGTATAAATACTGCTCCTGTCCTGCAATAAACGGCTCCCACTCCTACTGTTATCAACGTACACAAGTTATTCGTCACCCCCCAGTTATTTTGCTGCAGCTGGACTGTGGTAAAGAATCTTGGGGATGGGGTTGTAGCTCTGTGGTAGAGTGCTTGCATAGCATGCGTGAGGCACTGGGTTCAATTCTCAGCACCACATACAAATAAATAAAATAAAGGTCCATCAACAACTAAAAAATATTTTTAAGAAAATTAAGAATCTTGCTGGGCATGGTGGCTCATGCCTGTAATTCCAGAGACTTGGGAAGCTGAGATAGGAGGATCACAAGTTTGAGGCCATGTGGGTAATTTCAAATAGTCTGGACTGGAGGAGTCAGGTCTAAACAAAATTGGCCATAGGTAGATGATTTTTGAGGCTTAGTATAGGTGTGGAAAGGGGATCCATGGTATTATTCTCTCTAGTTTTGTATATGTTTTGGAAATTTCATAATAAAAACATAAAACAAAACAAGAGTCTAAGCTGGGTGCAAGGTACATGCCTGTGATCCCTACTGCCTGGGTGGCAGAGGCAGGAGCACTGCTTGGGTCAAAGTTTGAGAGCAGCCTGGCAACACAGCAAGATCCTGTGCTTCCCTCCCCTCCCCCCGCCATTTTTAAAAGTCTAGAGTCAAGTTATGGCATTAGTCTCAGATGTATTTCTTAGTATTAACACTATGGGTTAAAAAAAACCTATTAATAAGACTAATATGACTTACAAACTCAATATTGATAATATACTCACCAGTAATTGCCCCATTCGATCATGGTTCCTGGCTGAAAAGAGATTTAGATTTTGGTTTGTTAGTTTTTCTGTGAAAAAAAAAAAATAGAAATAGGAGTGCAAACATGCTTGTTCACCATGTGCCTGCCCCACAGCAAGAGCAGCACTCAATAGCTTCATGCAGGCAGACATCACATACACATCAGAGCAAGGCATCCATGTCCATCATCAGGGACACAGTGAGCAGATGCACCGAAGGTCACCAATCACCTCCTCTAATTCAGAGGTGATCATTAGACGCTGAGGGCTGCTGAGATGTTCTGTTTTATCACAGGCACAACCAACCATCTTCTCCACGGAACACACAATCATTATTTGTCAACAGAAAGTCAATTCTGCTGTCTGAGGCTCACGTTCTAGTGGTTGGGGAACAACTACAAAGTACCACAAAAGGTGATTCCCAGGTGGGGTGTGGCTCAGTGGTGAACACCTACCAGCATCATGAGGCCCTGGCGAGTCCCCAGCACCACTCCCCTCCACATGCACAATTCCTTTTACTTTTACATGCTGAATAATTTGCTCAATAGCCACAATGGTTAATTTTTTTTTTTTTTTTTGGGGGGCAGGGAGTACTGGGGATTGAACTCAGGGGCACTTACCCACTAAGCCACACCAACACCCCCAGCCCTATTTTGTGTTTTATTTAGAGACAGGGTCTTACTGAGTTGCTTAGTGCCTTGCTTATGCTGAGGTTGGCTTTGAACTCACCATCCTCCTGCCTCAGTCTCCCTAGTCACTGGGATTACAGGCATGTGCCACTGCGCCTGGCTAATTAATGTTCATTAGTTGCTCTAAATCAACTATAGTAGATGCCATATATTATACCTAGTTCTGAACTTGAGATCTTTCTACTCAAAAGATAAAAGTGTCAATTTAGAAAAAAATCAAATAATAAATGTGTAGAAGATCACAGAGAAAAGAGCTTAGCGAGGTGTGAGGGAGAGGAAGTGGAGAAGGACTGACAGGAGAACCAGCACGTCTGGCAGAACCTGCCCCTAAGCTCGCTCTTCCTTCACTGAACAAGGTCTGACCACATGTGGACTCACCCGGAGCTGGTAGGGCCTGAGCTCATGGGTCTGGACCTTGGGACTCACCCAGCGCTGGTAGGACCCAAGCTCATGGATGTCGGGTCCAGGCCGTGGGACTCACCCAGAGCTGGTAGGGCCTGAGCTCATGGATGTCAGGTCTGAACCGGACCATGGGACTCACCCGGAGCTGGTAGGACCTGAGCTCATAGATGTTAGGCCCTGGCCTTGGGATGGGCTCGTTCCAGAAGCTGAACTCCAGCAGCAGCTGGTTCTTTCTGGAGAGCAGCATGTTACTCCTCGCCTTCCGGAAGCTCACGAATTCCTTTGGGGAGGAAACGTGCTCATGAAGTGTTGCAGCCCCATGTATAGACACTCTCTAGGACCTACTCTGGTAACCGTTCATTCCCATAGAACGTGGGTGCAGGTGGGGTGATGGGCAGATTGCAGTTGGCCAGAGACAACTCCATCATCTACTGCATGGTTAGGGAATGGCTGCTGGCTCCCTTCCCTACAGCTCCAGGGTGGATGAGGAGCTATGCTGGCTCCCTGATTACTTAGGCCATCAAGGAGACAAGTTTCGCTTTCTGTGTCTGTAGACTTCCTAAGCAGTGTGTGATGGTCTATGATGGGGACAACTTGGTGACTACAAACAGCAGATGGCTCAGAGGCATTTACAATTGTCTGGGGACCTATGATATGTGGCTGTCAACCTCTGCCGACACGCACCTGCCAGTGAAGGTCAGGCAGGGCAGCAGGGCAGCAGGCCAGCAGGGGAAGACACATGTGGTCGCAGCACTGGAGCAGACACTATAGGTGGCAAGGTTGACTGTGCCCGCCATGCTGATTTTTACAGCTGAACTGTGTGTCAACAGCACTACATGATCACTGTGTCTAAATACAACTCAAGAGTCCAAAGGACAAAATTTCTACTAAAAAGCTGAGCAGTTTACTAACAGAGACTGATGACAGAAGAACCATTTGGTTTTGTACTGACATCTAGTGGATCACTAGGCTGAGTAAGAACCCATTTCTAAGCAGTTACCTGATTTTCTCTGAGTTTGTTCATGACCTCCGTGAGGGCTGGGTAGCCGCCTTCATACCTCCAGAGATGGACTGAAACGCATGGAAAAGAGAGCACACCTGAGAGCAGGCACCTGAACACACCTAGAGAGTAGCATTAGCCATCGCGACTCTAGCTGCCACTGGCCTCAATGACATGACAAAGCTTCCAGGTATTCAAACATTAAAAACAACAAGATAATTAGTCTTTACAGTGAATTACAGAAGAAACTATTTTAACAGTGGAACCAGACTAAGTCTTAGAAAGTTTTGAGTATATATAAAACAAGCATTAAATCAGAAAATTGCCTAAGAGACCCAGAAAGGCTAAGGGTGGAGAGTGAGCCAGTCTCTGGCTTCATACCAGCTTGATCCTGCTCCCCGTACCAAGTGTTCCAGGTGCCCACCAGCGCGCAGGGGTAGTGTGCATCTTCGTGAATCTTTGGTAATACCTCTTGGCTTAAAGAGAAGAAATAGCAACAGTGATTCAACAGCCGTGGAACATCCCAGTGGGCCACACAAAGTAACACAAAGAAGGTCGCCTACTCCATGTCTGGCCACAGAGCTCAGAACAGGCTGTGATGAGAGGATGTATGAAGCCACCTCTCAGCTGAATTTTGCTTACTCTGACACCCTATTCCTCGATGTTAGGTTTCCACCCCATCTAGAGGTGTGAGCAAGTCAAGTGCAGTAATCACTGTGGTAGGGAAGAGCCAAGGTCCCAGGGTTCCAGGAGCTATTTAGGTGAAGGAAGGGGAAAAAGAGAAGAACTACTTACTATTTAGGAATCTTTTTACAAAAGATAAGTTCTGATAAGAAGAATGAGAGGAGAGACATGGGAATAGCAGAAAGGAACCAGGAAGCAAAAGGAAAGGGAAGTTAGTAATGTTTGAGGTGGAGGCAGATGAAAAAAGCAGCGCCTGCAGGCAGCCATAGCAGGACGGGGAACAGTGGCCCTGAAGAGGACACAGGAGTGCAGGGCCAGGGCCTGGAAGCAGCCCAGACCCCGCAGTCCCAAAGGCACCACCAGCGTGAGGAATTAAAATCAAAGATAGCGTGAGTAGGCCGAGGTGATGCGGGGCCTCCAGAGGCGCCCTGATGTCTCATGCAGGAGCACGGCAAGTGGTTCCCTGCCGTGATAGGGCAAGGACGCAGCAGAGCCTGCGCAATGGCCAGGGCTCACGCTCAGAGAGCTTCCCACGGGGTCTAGAACAGGATGAAGCCAAAGGAAAGGGAGAGCTCAAACCTGCACAAGCGAACAGGAAAATGATGGTGGAAAATGATGGATGCAGAAGGCTGTCCCGGTGGGAAATGGAACCTGTTCATGTCTTTTGTTAACCTCATGAAGCTAGTGACCAGCTGCAGACCCTGGGCACCATGACAAGGCACCTATGGATGAACGGCTGTGTTGCTGTGGTTGTCTACAGTAGCACACCTTGTGTTGTTATTATTACTTTTTTCTGGTTCAATCCCCAGCACCACAAGCATGCAGGACAAGCACTCTACCACTGAGCTGCACCCCACTTTTTATTTTGAGAGAAAGTATCACTAAGCTGACCTTGGACCTGAGCTCCTCCTGCCTCAGCCTCCTGAATGGCTGGGATCACAGGTGTGCACCACCACAGGCACCATGTATTCTTTTAAGGATGGTATTTATTTTTTAAATTAAGATCTCATATTAAATGTATCTGATGCAATAACCATGAATGTTCAGAAATAATGGGTCTGATGAAAATCAGGGGTGGGAAGAGACAGATTAAGTTAGGAAAATGAAAAGGGGTCTCCTTTTTGTCATATGGCACAAGCCAGAAGTAGAACCATGAAGGAAAAAGTCAACACAGACAACGCAGGTGTGGTTGAGGAAGGCACAGGCCCTGGGGGTGCCGGGTTTTTGACTGGACAGAGGCCCATGTGCAGCAGAGTCAATCCTCTATTCTGGGGGCTCCATCTGCTCTTACAAGCCCTGGCCTTACCTGAATAGAGGGTGTAAAGCAGGCAGTACTTGTACCCAGAACAGGGTGGGCTGAGCAAAATCTTACTATAGGGCCCCTAAAAACCAACAGAAGTTAAGTCTTTATGTTCTGGAAACAGGGAGAGGCTCAATATTTCAGAGAAAAGAAAAAAGAACTTGATGAGGAGAAGAGAGAAATCAAGCAAATCAGTCTGACACATTTTGGGCAAGGAACTGAAGGATGGGTGGAGCCAGGTATAGCTTTAGGCCCAGAGGGGCAGCTATCTGGAGGAGGGGAGGCTACCTGGAGGAGGGGAGGCTACCTGGAGGAGGGGAGACTACCTGCAGGAGGGGAGGCTACCTGCAGGAGGGGAGGCTACCTGTAGGAGGGGAGGCTGGAGGAGGAGAGGAGGCTACCTGCAGGAGGGGAGGCTGGAGGAGGAGAGGAAGCTACCTGAGGCTACCTGCAGGAGGGGAGGCTGGAGGAGGAGGGGAAGCTACCTGCAGGAGGGGAGGCTGGAGGAGGGGAGGCTACCTGTAGGAGGGGAGGCTGGAGGAGGAGGGGAGGCTAACTGCAGGTGGGGAGGCTACCTGTATGAGGGGAGGCTGCAGGAGGGGAGGAGTGGAAACTAGCGGAGGGCTCAACCCAGGTCAGGTGGGGAAGCAGAGCCTCAGGGGCTGGCTGACCACACAGAGGTGCAGAGAGCCTGTCAGACATGGCCATGCAGAGATGCTGGAACAGCTGGGTGCCTCCCAGCTGAGCCTGAGGACTGAGAGGAGGCCTTCAAATACAAATAGGAACAGGGGCCAAAGGGCCAGAGATGGAGGTGAAGATGAAGCCATCAGAGACAGGAAGAGAGTCAGGAACCCAGAACAAGAGACCATTTCACTTCAGGAGAAAAGACTCGTAAATACACACCTACTTCATTAGAGGTCTTTTCAAACAAAGGGAAATGAGCTGAGGTGTGTAGTAAATTCTAAATACCTCCAGAAATAAACCAACAAAACAGGGGGTTTTGCTCCTGAAAATTTTGCTGATTCTATAGATAAAATCAGTTACTTTCTCTTGAAAATAACAGATATTAAAGGTCATAAAAACACTTTTTCATTACATTTGCTCAGAACCGAGCATTAAAGGGGCTGGAGTTGTGGCTCAGTGGTAGCCCTGCTTACCTAGCATACATGAGGCATTGGGTTCAAGTCTCAGTACCACATACAAATAAATAAAATTAAGGTCCATCAAAACTAAAAAATATTTTAAAAAGAACTGAGCATTAAAGCATTATCTGTTGTTAAGAAGTGCTAAGCTAAAATAGTGAACAACTTAGATGCTCTTCAATAGATGAATGAATAAAGAAACTGTGGTATATATACACAGTGAAATATTACTCTGCATTAAAAGAGAATAAAATCATGGCATTTGCAGGTAAATGGATGGAGTTGGAGAATATTATGCTAAGTGAGTGAAGTAAGCCAATCCCCAAAAAAACAAATGCTGAATGTTTTCTCTGATATGAGGATACTGATCCATAATGCAGGTGAGGGGGAGAATAGGAGGAATGGAGGAACTTTAGATAGGGTAAAGGGGAGGGAAGGGTAGGGATGGGGCTGGGGGAGGGAAAGACAGTGGAATCACCATCATTACCCCAAGTACTTGTATGAAGACATGAGTGGTGTGACTGTACAACCAGAGACATGAAAAATTGTGCTCTATATGTATACTATGAATTGAAATGCATTCTGCTGTCATGTATAACAAACTAGAATAAATAAATAAATTTTTTTTAAAAAAAGAAGTGCTGAGCTAATTCCCTTCATCTTAAGGTGTACAAATGGCCTCAGAGGGTGTGGCTCCACATCCTGGGATACTCAGCAGGGGACCTGGGTTCTGGAGAGGGAAAAGCTGCAGGAAATGGCTGCTGCAATTTCCTCAAGAGGAAGACTAAAGACAGCAGGGTCGCAGGGACGAGCTCTAATTCTAGCACCCAGAGCTGCAGATGGGCTGACTGCATCTGGGCATCAGGAGGGTCTGCTGAAACTTGAGTGTGGGATGAGCAGATGGACCCTGCAAGGCTTCCTCCAACCTTGGTTCCACTGCATTCTGAAGTCTAAGTGATGAGGGTGACCTCTTCTAACAGCATTAAGTGAAGTAAGCCACAGTCAGATAGTCAAGATTCATATGTTTTCTCTCATACATGGAAGCTGTATGAGAGGGTTTAGCTGTGTGTGTTTAAAATAAAATGCCACTGGCCATCCCACAAAACCTGGTGTAAGACCCTCTCCACATTCAGCTGTATGGGGATGAGCCCATTTCTCGGATACCACGTGCTAGCTGAACAGCAAACATCCACATCACTACTTTCCCCCAAGGAAAAGAGTTTGAGATACACACCAAATCTTGTTGTACGCTTCTAGGCATTCTGGCTTAACGTTGTGAACTGAAACAAAAGAAAATCAGTGATAAACTTACGAACAAACATACACATACAAACAAAAGTCAGCTGCGGAGACAGCGAAACTGCCACTCACACTGTAGTTTGTACAGGCTGCTGGTTTCCTTTTTAGCCAGGAGGTTAGAGTGAGCATCTTTTCTGGGATCAACTTTCCGTACAAACAAGGATTTCAACCAACTGTCTTCTCGAGGTCTGTTGTTAGAAGAGGTCAATTTCCTGTGGAACAAAAAACACACCCATCTGAGTCTAATTGGAAATATGAAGACCTCAGTGTCTTCAGGTAGCTTCGCCTAGGATGGCTTCCAGGCACAGGCACTGAACGCAGGTGCCACAGAACATGTGCTCTCCATCTTGCTAGCGCACACTGAGCGAGGAGAGACATGCAGAGGTTAACTCTCCGTACTCCAAACAGTTCCCATGTTTACTTAGCACTCTGTGCTTCACATTTCCCTCTCCTCCAAAGCAATTCTCTTTTTCTTATTTACTTGTTTTTTTGGTACCAGGGATTGAATTTTGGGGCACTTTACCACGGAGCCACATCACTAGCTCTTTTTATTGATTTTGAGACAGGCTCTTGCTAAGTTGCTAAGGGTTTCACTATGTTGCTCAGGCTGACCTCAAATTTGACATCCTCTTGCCTCAGCCTCCTGAGTTGCCAGGATTACAGGCATTTACCACCATGCCCAGATCTTTTTAATTGATGCATTATAATTATACCTAACAGATACATTGTGATATATTTGCACATGCACACAAAATAATCTTGGGCAATCACATTCCCCAGTACCTCCTCTCCCCGGCTCCGGTCCACTTCCTTCATCCTACTTGTCTCTTTTCTAATTTCACCAGATAAATCCCCCTCTTTGTTTTTTCCTTTTGTCTTTAGCTTCCATGTATGAGAGAAAACATATGAATCTTGACTATCTGACTGTGGCTTACTTCACTTAATGTAATACTCTCAAGGTCCATCCATCTTCCTAAATGGCATAATTTCATTCTTCTTTATGGCTGAGTAAAACTCCACTGAGTATGTACGCCACAATTTCTTTATCCATTCACCTGCTGACGGACACCTATGCTGGTTCCATAACTTGGCTATTGTGAGCTGCGCTGTCAAAGCCATTTTGACATAGAACACACATAAAGAAACCTAGAGCAGTCAGTCTGTAGACATGAGTGGAGGGTGGTGCTGGGCGGGGAGGGCGGGGTCACTGCTGGAGGGACACAGAGTTTCACTGTGGGAAGAGGAAGCATTCAGAGGATGGATGTGGTGATGTGTCCACAAAGGGAATGCTCTTACGGTCACTGGGCTGTGTGCTTAGAAATGGCGAGAGTGACAAACACTGTGTTTTGGTAGGTTTTGTCTCACCACCATTTATAAAGGCATCTGGCCAGGAAATGGCAGACATGGCTGTGAGACACTGAACCTGATCCACAACACTGAACTGCACCTGTAGAAAAGCTAGGCGGGGGGCCTACAGTGGCAGAGTGCCTACCTAGCATGCAGTAGACCCTGGGGTTGATCCCCAGCACCCCGAGAAGTAAATAAGTACCCAAGTAAATCTGGCTAAACTACGAACTATACTTTCATCTTGAATTTTCTAGTGCATGTCTAACTCCACAGGCCCACCAGTGAGAACACAGATCTGTCTAACCTCAAGTGCAGGGTGAATTATTTACATTGAAACAGAAACTCCATGTAACCTTTGGCCCAATAATTATACCTGAAGCTGCATTCTATAGGTAGCTGGAAGTGCATGAAGTTGGACACACAGAGCGTTCATTACACCTGTGATCTCAGTAGCTCAGGAGGCTGAGGCAGGAGGACTGCAAGTTCAAAGCCAGCCTCAGAACTTACCAAGGCCCTAAGCAACTTAGTGAGACCCTGTCTCAAAGTAAAAAAATAAAAAGGCTGGGTATATGACTCAGTGGTTAAGCAACCCTGGGTTCAATTCCTAATATCAAAAAAAAAAAAAAAAAAAAAAGAAAGAAAGAAAAAGAAAAGCAAGAAATCAGAACCTAGTGGAGACTCATCCTCTTCCAAACTTCACATAACCAGCATCAAAGGACAAACTGTGCCCCTCCACTGACTTCATTTTTGTTCAGATTTACAGTTCTATGAGTTTTGGCAAATGCAGTCACCTATGCCATACAGTTCAGACAAGGAACATTTCCTCACTCCTCTCATGACTGACCCCTTCCCCTCTAGCAACTAAATGCTGCCCAGAGCCCTGCCTCTCTAGAGGCCTCTCACTCCCAACAGGCTTCTGAATCTGCCCTTCTTCCTGCACTCTCTCCCCTCTTCTTCTGAGGGCATGCTGGGGATCCTGCTAAGCAAGGGCTCTCCTTTAAGCAATGAGCCCGGCCTTCCGCATGGTCCCCTTGGGACTGAGACCATCTCCTCTGGCTAGAGTCTTTATGGCATACTCTAGAATTCTGATTTTTGATGGACTCTTCTGCCCCTTCCTACATCATACTAGGTGCAGAAATGTTCTGGGGTGCCAAGTGGCCACCATAAATAGTCCTTAGTGCTTCAAAGCGAGGTGGGATGCTGACGGCCAGTACAACCCTGTTCTGTGGGATCTCTGTAGGTACTAGATGATTTCCAAGACTCTTACTAATCTGCTTAGCAAACTTACCAATAGGCAGAGTAAGAGGAAGAGTTAACTCCAGATATTAAGGAAAGTACTAAGAGTTCAAATAGGGACAAGAAAAGCTCTTGGAGGAGTACATTCTCCACTGTTTCAGGAGATGAACATCTGAGTTTGATTCCTATTCTTACCCAGCACTGGTATTTTGGAAATAACAGTACTCTAAACTTCACAGGCTATTGGCAGCCTTTTTCTTTTTGGCTTAAAATTCAACTAGCTGTTGTATGTTTTTTATAAATAATGATCAAGAACAAAAAAAGCATTTTTTTTCACTTCCCCCAAAGCAGCCAACTCACACTAAACAAGTGAAATGATAAGCTAATGCCAGTGCAGGCGACCTTTCTGACAAGATGTTGGCAAAAGTTGTCCTATTGCACCTGTGGAGGAAATCTGAGGCCTTCCTTCTGCCTTTACTGGAGGTCCCAGGCTCAGACTTAGGAAGTGTTGATGCGGATGGCTGGAGAAGAGAGGCTCGGCTCCGTGTTCACGACTGGTCTTAGTGTGTGTGTGCCTAGAGAATGTGCTAAAGTACTTGGGGACAGCACCTGACATGTGCAAAGCCTCTTAAAAGTTAAGTTTCTAACACTATTTTTCAATAGAACTTTTCTAAAATTAAAACTATTAGTTCTTGAGTAAAAACCAACATCATCCAGTATTTGTTTGTTTCTTTTTTTTTTTTTTTGGTGCTGAGGATTGAACCCAGGAACTCATGCATGCCAGGCAAGCACTCTACCACTGAGCCACATCCCTGGCCCTGTTTCTGCTTTCAGTTCATTCTTTGATTATAAAAAATAAACTCATCCAGAAAAAGGCAATTTTCCAAATGAATCACAGTAAAATTTATTTCAATAAAAATAAAAACAGGGGCTTGGGTTGTGGCTCAGTGGTAGAGCACTTGCCTACCATGTGTAAGGGACTGGGTTCTATCCTCAGCACCACATAAAATAAATAAAGGTACTATGTCCAACTACAACTAAAAAAATAAAAATAAAAATAAAAAATAAATAAAAACATTTTGTTAATTTGTTTCACGTGTTTCCAATATACCACATTTTGGGATATTTATTTAGTAATACCATGAAGCACAATGGCAAGCATATAGAATTGGTGACAAAGTAGAAAGTGTCAAGGTCTGTTTATGGAATTCTGTGTTTCTTGTGTTTTATTTGAGATTTAAATTCATTTAAACAAAGGTTGTATTAAAAATCTTTTCGTGGGGAGGACAAGTGGTCCATACCTGTAACCCCAGAGACTCAGAAGGCCGAGGCTAGAGGATCACAAGTTCAAAGCCACCCTTAGCAACTTGGCAAGGCCCTAAGCAACTTAATGAGACCCTGTCTCAAAATAGAAAATAAAAAGGGTTGGGGATGTGGCTCAGTGGTAAGCCCCCCTGGGTTCTGGTACAGCACCAGTACCCCCCAAATTGGTTACGGCTGTGGCTGTGGCTCAGTGGTAGAGCACTGGGTTCCACACTGGTCTCAAGAGAATTTTTACTCTTACTCCTTTGAGCCTGAAATGGGTGTGGTCTTGCCAATTCCTGGGATGTCCTCAAGTCATCTTTGCTATTGTCTCTGGTAAAGCTTTTAGTGTTTCTTCAATGGCCATAAGGTCTTTAGCAACACAACTTCCTTAACCCCAGTTTTACTGTTTTCTGGTCAAACCTCAAGATGTTCAAATCTTTCTGCCTTGCTTTCTGCTCCCAATTATCACAATAAACTTCGTTAAAAGCTGATAGCAGGGACTGAGGATGTGGCTCAAGTGATAGTGTGCTCGCCTGGCATGCGCAGGATGATGGGTTCGATCCTCAGCACCACATAAAAATAAAATAAAGATGTTGTGTCCACCAAAAACTAAAAAATAAATATTAAAAAATTCTCTCTCTCTAAAAATAAATAAATAAAAGCTGATAGCAATACTCATGCCACAGCCTGAATGTTATGCTGCATAGAAATTTCTTCTGCCAGATTATGAAGTCCATCCCTTTTAAATTCAGCCTCATAGAAAGCCTCAGGACACGGGCAAAATGCAGACAACTTCTTAGTCAGAATGTAACACAAATGGCCTCTAGTCCCATTTCCAATAGATCCTTCCCCTCTAAAACCTCTTGAGCCCTGTCTTTACTATACACAGTCCTCTAGGCATTCTGGCCTTGTGAACTCCCACCAGAATAGCTCGTTATGGTCCACTTACAATATTCTAAAGCTTTTCCAGCTTCCACTGCTAAATTTTCCAAAATTCTGCTCACAAATTACAAAAGCTCCAAAAGCTTCTGAACCCATATGGTCAGGTTGCAATGGCAAAACCAGACCTGGTTGTGAAATGAAATTATAAAAACTTTATGGTAGGGCTGGGGGGTGTAACTTAGTGGGTAGTGCTTGCCTAGCACATATGAGGCTTGTCTAGCACTGGGTTCAATCCTCAGCATCATATAAAAATAAATAAGTAAAATACAGTTATTGTGTCCATCTACAACTAAATAAAAAAAATTAAAGTTATGGTAAGAAACCAATGCATGGTGAAAGAGTCAGTTCCCCTCCCCTTTCTCAAGAAAGCCTAATTAACCCT